CCCTGCCAGCTCAGGCAGGACGGCCTGGCAGGGGCTTGCAATCAGAGGCCTCAGGCAGTAATTTATTGGGGGGGGGAGGAGAGGAAGAGAAAGGTCTGAAAACAGTTTCGGTTCACGCTGGAGAGGAAAGGAAACCGCCGCCCTTTCCCCTTGACATTCTGGAGCTTTTTAAAAGCCGAGTCTCGTCCGCTAGCCTGCCGCTTCCCAGCATGGGGGCTGCTGGCACCTGGCCAAACCCCACGCACACGTTTTGTGTTTCTTTGCCCCTCACAAGGCCGTTCAAGGTCACACAGTGTTCCATTTCACTGCTGGGGAAACTGAGGCAAAAGCTAAGTGCATGGACCGTGTTAGTACATCCGGTCAATACAGCACCTAACTCCTGGTCCCTGGGTAGCGCCCTCAAACCCGACAGTGACACACATCGCCATCCAACGGCCGTCCCAGGGCCCCGCCCCCAGCTCAGCAGCTGAGGCCCAGAGAAGAGGCTGCCCTCGTAACAATCAGCAAGTCTGAGGCAGGAACCGTTCTGGTTTTTTAAACAACAGTAGCAAGATTTGGCTCCTGGGCTAATACAACTAATCTGAGGGCACATCCGCCGTTCAGTCCCATCTGTCCCTTTCTGCTCGCAGCGAAGTCTTCTTTGGCTTTGGCATATGCTGGCAGCCAGTCAAGGAGAACCCCTGTTGCGGAAGGGAGGAGCTAGAGATCAGCACCCCCCTGTCTCAGCTCCTTACGGGTAGTGGCTGGCAACGATTTTGGTCCACGCCCACCCTGCACAAGGCCCGACCTTTCTATGGACCGCCAGCCCTGATGACAAAATGGTGCAGCAGCGAGTGGAAGTGCAGGATCCAGCTGGGAAATAGGGTGCAGGAGTGGGCTGGGGGTGCAGGGTCTCAGCCAGAGGAGAGGGGTGCGAGGAGAATGAGGGCTCTGTGCCTCCTGCCCCTCCCGCTCCCATTGGCCATGACTGCACCCAATGGGAGCAGCAGGGAACATCTCCAGCCCCGCTTTCTTGCACTGCTGTTCCCCCAGCTAAGGGGAGACAGAGCGGCCGTATACAGGGCCACTTCCTCCTGCCATGAGCTAGATCCAGCGCACGAGGATCAGGCCTTCCCCGTACCCCAGCCACGCACAAGGCAGTTGCACGCTACACAAAGCCATGTCTATGTTCACAGCTTCTTGTGCCAGAAATATGCAAATGAGGCTAAGTGTGGACTATCACCATGCTTCATTTGCATGCCCCAAAATCATGACACACTTGGGTTGGCCTTTTGCTTACTGACTCGCCCTCCCCCCACTCGCGTTGCCAGCTTTCTCCAAGAGAGTAAGGTAGTTTGCGTGCTGCGCAGAACTTCCCTTTTCCCTCTGCCCCCAAAAGTTGTAATTAGGGCCATTGATTAACACCTGTTAATGCCTGGGATTAATGCAGGGAAGAATTAACATCAAAAAAATCAACGGGTGTTAATCGCAGGCATTCTTGGGGAGCCCGGGATTAGGGGGGTGGTGCTCCCCCTTTGAAATGCTACCACATTAATTTTTTTTAATCGCCCCACTAATCAGGATTACATTTTTTTAATCGCTTGGCAGCCCTAGTTGTAATGAAGGTTGTGCTCCCCAGCGAAATTAACGATGCCCCTCCCACTTCCCTCAGCCGGTTTGCTTCTTCCTTCTCCTCCCTCTCCCACCCCAAGAAAATCATTTATCTCCCTGCAACAGTTCCCCGCTGTTGAAGGGAGGCAGGCTTCTGCCAACAGAATTGACACTTGGAAAGGCTCAAAGGTCAGCGGGTGGTTTGATTTCAGTTCCAAGCGGAACGCTGTTAAATAAGAGCCGACCTACTTTTGAAAACAAGGCAGCAGGCCCTGGCTCACGTTAAGAAACGTCAGCACTTTTGACAGTTGCTTTGCTTATTCCTAATGCTTAAGCAGTAACATTTCATTTTTCATTCTCCCCCTTTCGCGTATGGCCACTGGTTGGGCTGCTTACAGAACAGAACATAAGAACGGCCGTACTGGGTCAGACCAAAGGTCCATCTAGCCCAGTATCCTGTCTGCCGACAGTGGCCAGCACCAGGTGCCCCAGAGAGGGTGGACTGAAGACAATGATCAAGCGATTTGTCTCCTGCCATCCCTCTCTAGCCTCTGACCAACAGGCAACAATGCAGTAACAATGGTCCGCAGGGGTTTTAAAATCCAAGACGTTTCGGTTTTAGAGGCAGTCGGGAAATCTTGGTTACTGCAGGAATGTAGACATTTATATTAAATGGGGGGGGGGAGAGGAGAGGAGTGTAAGTCACGTCCCTTGAAAAATATTTACATCCTGCCACATTGCTGAAGACCAAGCAAACGATTAACTCGAATTCAAGAGGAGACAAAGTCCGCGGGGCCTGGGTTACTTATCAGGCGATACACAGAAGAGGAGGGTCCAGATCCAGCAGAAGCACAAAATGACTCAGCATGACTGTGTTTGAGCTGCGAGGCGTTTATTGAAAAACATCCATTGAGTTGGTCACGGGAGGAGCAGAAGAGACACAGGAGGAGAATGGAATTAGGAGCCCAGTCCGTGAAGACGCAGGTGTCAGCACGGTGCCAGCGTGTGCTGGGGAGACACAACTGTGCCTATAAGCTCCTCCCATCCCCACACCGTGCCACGAAGGCTGTTTGCACACGGTAGGCCTCAGACCCCGAGCGTAAAGACACAGCCCTTGCATGGCAACAGGTGTCAGAAGACAAAGTATTAATAGCAACTTGCATCTTTGCTGCATTTCAGCAGTAACCCCTGCAGAGCTCAGAATAGCTACTCTGGGAGTCGCACACTGGGTAGGATTCGCCCTCCCAGTTGTGATCCGGTATCAAACCGTGGGCACGACTGCCAGGCTTATGGCTCTTTTAAAAAAAACAATAGAGGTGGAAGGGGGGAGTGAAAAGTATTTATAGGGAGCCTTTCCCTGCAGGGGACTCAGAGCATTTTACAAGCCTACGCCCGTTGGGCCTAGCCCCGGGCGGGCAGGGTCGTAGCGTGCACAGTCTAACCCCGCAGAAACCCAGAGCTTATCGGAAAATCGATCAAAGGGCAGCAACTTTGGAAGACTCGGGTGAGCCCAGCTCCAAGGTGCAGAGGAGGAAGCTGCTGAGGGTGACAATGAGCAATGGGATGAACAGGCGGCTTTTGGCCTGGACTTTAGGAGATGCCTTTTCCAGCTGGAGACCAAAACTAACCCTGCTTCCTGGCACGGGGGAAAGAGGGCACTGCAGCCATGCAAAACCTCCCGCCAGCCCCACTCAGCTCTCCAGGCCGATCTGCTGCCGCAGAACCCTTGGGGCAGCAGTTCTGTGCCCTGGCAAAAATCCCACGGGGCTCTGGACCAGACACTTGCTTGGCCCTTGGAAAACCGCTCTGCTGGGCTCCAGATAAACCTGCAGCCCCTGAGCCCCGGCCGGTAACCCTGCGCAAGCCATGCAAAACCTCCCGCCAGCCCCACTCAGCTCTCCAGGCCGATCTGCTGCCGCAGAACCCTTGGGGCAGCAGTTCTGTGCCCTGGCAAAAATCCCACGGGGCTCTGGACCAGACACTTGCTTGGCCCTTGGAAAACCGCTCTGCTGGGCTCCAGATAAACCTGCAGCCCCTGAGCCCCGGCCGGTAACCCTGCGCATGCCAGAGGCTTTTTCGGATTTGCAGGAGCTCTTCGAGGCCAGCGGGTCAGATTCACACCACGTGAAAACAGCCACGTTGTAGGACACAGAAACCCACGAGGGAGGGAAATCAGCCTTGGCTCACGACCTCGCCAGCAAGGGCTCCCCCGGAGAAGCAGGGGTTCCTTGCTGGCACTTGGCTTCCATCACATTATGCTCTGCTCACCGTGGGGAGGGAGGGGAGAGGAGAAGGGTTCGAAGAGGACAGGGGGCCGGGGAGGAAGGGCCCACGGCTGCAGTTTCAGGCGCAGGCTCTGCTCCCCTACATCGGCCCCCGGCTCACCCCAGGAAGGGCTCTTTCAGCCGCACGCGCAAGGAAAGGGAAGGTTACCGGACAGCGGCACGGGACGCGCCCCCTGCGTCTGCCTAAGAGCCAGGCGTCAGCACCGCTGAGCCACCGGGACGCGCTTTGGCTTCCTCCCATCGAGCTGGACTCCAACTGGAAGACAAGGCGCTTGCAGGAGCGCAGGGGTTAAAAGCAGGCACCTCGTGCTGCTGCTCCTCAGTAGCCAGACCCCGAGGGGCAGCCCCAGCTCGAAAACAGCTGGGAGCTGGATGGAGCTGGGTCGCCACCCGCACCAGAGTTCTCAGCTGTTCAGGTGGGAAGGGCCTGCCTGAGGGTAACTCTGTTACACTCCAGTTTATTCACCACACAGCACCAAGAAGCGCTCCTGCTCACACCATGGTTGGAAGGGGCCTATCGACTCCTTGTGGGACACGCGTTCAGTCCCTCGACCAGGGTTAGTGCCCGTTAGGGTCCCACTGGTCTATCAGCAGAGTCCCGACCTAAGGCAAGGGGTTGTTACAGGCACTATACATAGTGTATTCGGAGGGAGGGGAAAGCGGGGTCCTACAAGCTGCTTTAAGCCATTAATACTCGCAGGGGACAAGCAACATCATAGCCCATCAGCCAGGAAAACATGCTGGCTTGAGAAATGTTGAAGGGGTACAGGCAGCGGGGGAAAAATTATAGCCTCTAATGCAAGTGTAGACAGTGATTTCTGCAATCAAATACCAAGCCAGTTGGGGCAGCAGATTACATGAATTAGACCCTTAATTGTTGGTGGCAAACAGAGCCTGAACTATGATGCATGTAGCAGATCTTCAAGTGACAGAATCAGCCAGGTTAGTTTCTTACGTGGCAAAAGGATTCTTCTTCAGACAGCTGCTTGGTTCGGTGCCTTCCACGCTCTGGTGTTTCAGTTGTAGAAGGCTCATGCCCCAATCCTTGGGTCTACATGCAGGAAGACCTCCCCAAAAGCTCGTTGAGTTTGGGCCTGGAGAGGACTGGGCATC